TGAGCGTACTGACCGCTTCAGTTATCTGAGGAGTCTCATCAGTGCTAATGGCTTGATGACTGACGAAATCTCAGAACAGATACAAAAGGCACGATTGGCTTTTGCCAACCTGCGTCACCTATAGCGTAGGCGAGATATCCGTTTGTTAACCAAAGGACGAGTGTACTGCGCAACAGTTCTCTCCGTTCTCATATATGGATGCGAAACATGGCCGTTGAGATTAGGTTATTAGTATTCGATTATAGATGTCTTCTGAGCATTGCTCATATATCCTAAGATAACCGAGTAAGCAATGCTACAATTAGGAGACAAGTACTAGGTAAGGATGGCAGATCAATAGATGAAGTGGTGAAACTTCATCAGTTGAGGTGGTAGGGACATTTGTAACGAATGCCCGACCACGATATATGTTTTGTGGTGCGGGAGTAGGTTGGAAGAAAGCTACGGGTGGCCAGACCAAAACATGACACAAATCCATGAAGTCACTGACAAGTGGACTGAATCATGTTGGTAGATCCAGACTACCTGGTTGGGGTCCGCGAGACGAAAGTAACCGATGGTTAGAGACCTTGAACGACATGGCCTAAAATCGTTTTGCAATGGCGCAAGTGCATCCATTCGTTGTGCTCTTTCAAATCCTAATCTTCTGGATTCGTCAGCACCTCTACATTTGTCTTTCTAACCTTATCTCACAGAATTATACTTCTTGAATAATATCTTCAAACCATAGTCTTCTTCATTACCATTAATACCTCTACTATCTTTATCACTATGGGATTTGTTTCGATATTTGCGTCTCTGTGCTAATGTGGTATGGCAGTATGAACTTAGATACATACGTACGAAGTTCTACGTTGCAACTGACTGACTAACTGAATCGTACTGATTAAGGTGATACAGTGATACAAAGACTAATATAACTGGTTTATGTATTGCTTTTTCCATGTCACACTACCTACTTGAATAGCTAAAGTTTACTGCCAGAAAAGTATGTTTGAAAAAAATTAGGAGTTAGCATACTAAGCTATGAGACTAGTTGACAGGGTTACTGACTATTGTTTTAGTTGTTCATACAGGCTCAGATTTTTTAGTGTCCTCAGGATGATGGGAACTAACGAATAAAGGTGATATATGATCAGTTTAAGTCGTTTACTTTGGGATACATGTTGCTTGATTTCAAGATCCAATGGATGTTAATATTCGTCTATTATCTCTATCTATTTGTTATTATTCGGTTATTCATTGTTCTATGCTGTTAAAAATGTGGTTTGATTGATGGCTGAACGTTTTCGGTGAATTTTACGTTCACTAATGTACTTCTTTTAGTCATGTCTTAAACTGCGATGTCTTTCATGTTAATTTAGTTGAAATTTGGTTTCAAATAAGTTTGTTAGCGTGTTTTTAATCACTTAAGTTGCTTGAATCGTTTGGGCTGGGGTTTTCAATTCATAAGTCGTTAGTTTTTGTATTCTAATCATTTAGTTTAATATTCGAATACCAGTTATATAAACTTTCAAATCTCGCCCTACTTTTTTCAAGAAGACAGGCTATCAGTTTTTTAACCAGGTAGTCTAAATATCTATTTATCTACTTAGTGACTAGAAATCCAGTTATTTGAAAATAATCTTATGGTTTAGTTCTTATTAGCTTAGTTACTTAAATTCCGTCATGGGTTATTGGAATCGTCAACAAAAACGTATATCGCCTGCATGCTTTTGGTTTGTGTGTTTATGTACATGGTAATATTTATGCGGGGTATATTTTTTATTCGCTCAAATAACCTACAACGAACAGGTATTTCGTCCAGTTAACTGCATTTTGGTCAAATGTGTGCATATATTCTTTTAAAGTAGTGTTTTATAAGTATTTGAGAAATGTTATGTGTGAGAATAACCGTAAAAATTGATTTTGAGTATTCATTCAATATACTAAAAATTTAAATCACAATACCAGTTAGTTTATTTTTACTGAAAATAATATTGTTAGCTTATTTTTCTGCGTTGATGCTATGAAACATTCAGAATGTCTACCTAATGATGAACGATGTCTAACTTGAAGTTATGTGGTTACTTGCTGTTAAGTCTAAATTGTCAGTAAAAGTGTTATTGTGAAGATGAATGCAATGAAATTTGTTTATTATTACTGAAATCTCAAGGCATAGCCATTGGAGTTATTTCGTTTATGATTCATAAGTTAGTAAATTAAATATGTAATTTAGGTCATGGTGGGCCATAAAGGTTTCAGCCATCATTGTGCTAGTTCTTAGTATAGAAATATCGTTTTATGCCGATGAACTTTCTCTGAAACTCCTTCCGTGAGGTGTTTGTAAACTCATTCAACATGTACGTAGCCATTATTTACTGAAATTGTAATACTGAACAATCCAGAAGAAAGAAGGAAGAATAGTCAGTCATTCAGTTACAACGTAGAACTTCGTACGTACGTACATCAGTTCAGGTTGCCATACCGCCTTAGTACGGAGACACAACCGTCAGTTCAAATCCAATAGTGGTAGCGATAGTAGAAGTATTAGCAATAATGGAGAAAATTAGGGCTCGACGATATGATTCGAGAAGCATAATTCAGTGAGATAACTTTAGGAAGAGAAAGACAGAAATGATGTGGAATTCAGGAAGTTAGAATTTGAGAGAACACAATGAATGAATGCACCTGCGCCATTGCAAATGATTTTGAGCCAAGGGTGATTAGACCAAAACTCAGTGTCAGTACACAATGTCATTGGGTAACACACTTGGAGCGAGCCTAAATGTATCGAACGACCTAACTTACTGACAGTATTTTAAATCTGATCAATCAAATTCAATCTATACTGAGGAATAAACATAATGCTAGTTAGTACGCAATATCTGATTTGTTTAGTTCCGCTTTTTATGTCATCTGATTTTATTCTTTTCTTTGTAATAGTATATAATCCTATTAGTTAAATGAATTATCCACTGAACCATTTTATCCTACCTACATTTTTATTTAATTTACTATGGGTTTTGAGAAACAATTAAAATTATCAACACTATAGTTGTCTTTATTCAAGTTGAAACAGTCTTCTTTTGAACTCTGTGATCACGCTTTCATTAAGATTAGACGATCAATATTAATTATGTCTCTTCAGGTATTTAAAAAGAGCTCTTTCCTCTGTAGTATTGGAGGAGGGGTCGCTAAAAATCCCATCGACCAAACACATTTAATAGAATTTGAGTCCATTTAGCCCACTAAGTCCCATTCATTTCTTCCCCGTATTTCTACTCCTACGATCCAATGCTTGTTTTATGGTTCTGTGTATTCCAGTTTGTTCAACAAGTGCTGTACTTATGAAATGTAATCCTTGTTTTTTTTGGAACTGGGTTTTAAACTGTATGTTGTAACTTTTAGTGTTCAGACTTTGAGTCGAATTAAACAGCAGGCTTCACTGGACAAGATTAGAATCCCGTAACGTATGTATGGTTTATCCCTGAAACTTGTATACCAGACTAGTGTGGTTATTTAATTAATATCTAACCTGTTTGGAAAATTAACATAGTTCATCCATATAATATCTGTAGGTTCATTATCGGTTTTTTATGATCTCCGTTATTCTATCATTCCATTAGCATTCGATTCATTAATTTTAAAAATCGAAGATTTCGTCGTATCCATCATTAAAAACCTTTATGGTAATGCCACTAACCACCTGATCCGATTGTGTTCAGACACCTGTTTTTCTCTAGCGATTGCCAATTTTAAGTATAAAGGAGGAATATATTGCTTAATCTATCATCTGTAACTTCGAATCAACGTATAACATTTATATCAATCATCGTTGAATAAGAATAATGTGATCCTGACACTTAGTTGTTTCAAAACAGGTTTCTTTAAAAGTCAGTTTCTAGTAGATGACGTTTCATTATTAGATACTGAATTACAATCTAGTCCTTGGATTCCCTAGTAGTTACCATTTACTCATTGTAAAATTGAAAGTAGAACTTGTGGGCTTCGAAGAAAGTACCCCATATTTAGAAAAAAGGATGATTCCAGTATTTGTTGACTAAATTCTCACTTTTTTCGTGAATTCATTTATTTGTCTTTCAGTGCTGTTTGTACTCTGCTTTCCATTACTAAATTACATGTCTGATTTGTTTCAATTATTTCATTAACCTGCTAATACTTCGTCCTCACAAAGTTTGATACGCTAAGATGCACTTAATTTAGAAGGTTCGTTTTTCTGAAAGATTTTTAGGGAAACAGTGTGTTGCCCTCTGTCAGTTTATGCTATGGTTGCTTATCGTATGTAAAGTGTGACAAAAAGTTTAATTATTTGTTGTCTTATATAAATTTTTTTCTTTGGTCTATATATAAAATTTGAAGTATAAATGATGAGAACCAGTGACTGATCTAGTAAACAGTATAACAAAAGTACATGCGATAGTTTAAACTTGTTAGCTCACTAGTGAAGTTAGTTATTTGAATTATTTCGATCAAACAAACTAGCTATCATATCACTCATTAGGTTTTATTCAGTTAAGCAACTCATTAACTACAATGAAAGGTTCAGAATATCGTATATGATGGATTTTGTAACTCTTTACTATAGCTAATAACTTGTAAAGTTAGTGCACACTCACACCGTTTGTAGTTTAGCAAAACCCATCTAAAATGTATTCAAGGATACAGAACAAAACAGATATCTCTTTCATGTTTAAATCTTCTCCATTTTCATTTCAAGCAGTGAAGTACTGTTTTTAATCCACACACTAACTATATAACTTAGAGCTAACTGCACCGGTGTGTGTTTATTCACTAGGCTGCTTAAATGCAATAGTGTTTATTTTATGTAACTTTGTAATTTACACCTTTATTTTGTAGTCATTGAGCCATAGTTTTGCTATTTTATATGTTTTGGTCTGTCAACTTAAATATTATTGTTGATCTGTTCTGTTAGGTTGTTTTTCCTTTTATATTTAGATATAAAATTTTTTAACTAATAATTTATTCTATTTCTCTAGCTGTCAAAATGGTTGCTTTGGAATTTATTTCTCAGTTAGATAAATTACATTTCGTTGATTCTGTCGGATTAGATGATTTCGCAGATCGATGCTCTTATATGTTATCATTTATTATTCTGGTCATGTGTTTTACCATTGTTACATTGAAATCTTATGTCTTTGAACCATTATCATGTTATATTCCAACTACATTCTCGGGTTCTAATTTGGGATCATATATTAATGCATTTTGTTGGATTAATGGGACTACACCGATAAGTGTAGATACAGATCAGTTAGATGATCAAATGTATTGGAATAGTTTAGAAGATAAAAAAATTAGTAAGTCTTTTTCTTTTTTATCATATTAAACTATACAATATATTTTTGTTTGTTTTGATATGTAATCTTAAATATTCATGAATGTCATTATGTTTAGCATTTTCTGAAACGTCAACTTATGTAGAATACGTTTGAGTTTTAAATGTTTACAGATGACTGAAGTTCAGCTAAAAATTCAGCAAGCTCTCATGCTTGTGACTTCTAGATTGATGTACTAAGTGTTTTATCAGACTCTTGAAAGGTTCGATCAGATTTCTCATGTAAGAATAAACCAGTTCATTTAAGTAATTTAGTTCAGGTCATACTGTTGTCAGGTGATCTTGTTTAGCATGAATTCTATCCGACTATTCATTTCAATTTCTGTTGTGTCGTATATTTGATCTTGGCCATTTGTTTTCTTTGACACACCCTATTAATTCTTGTCAACGTTATGGATAAATGTAATTTCTTCTCAGAACAAACAATGATTGATTTCTCAAAGTAATTTCTAAAGACAAGAATGTATCACATAGAGTCAGTTTATCTAACTAATGGAATCCAGTTATTGAAAATAGTTATGTATTGGAATTTTTAGAATATTTCTTATTTTCAGCTTACCAATTTTGTTATGGTCAAAAGGTTAAAACCTTAACAGTGTGTTTTGTATTATATAAGAATTTTTTCTTCCAGTCTTTAGCACAGTGTGAGTTAGTACTTCCCATCTTAAACTAAGACAGTTCAATCACCGTCCTTATATATGGTTTGAAGCTATGTTCTGAAACCAAAATGGTAACAGATAACTACTAATGAGATGAACTCCCACTAGGTAAAATGTTTACTTCTCTTCAGGATATTTTGAACTAAGTGCTCTTAGGCTTTGGTATTGTATTTTTCAGATTGCTTGTAAATTTGTCATATTCAACAAGGGATGTAATATAAATATGCATCGATATTGATCGAATCCGTACGGCAAGACAGAAAATCAAAGTATGAAAGGTATGGGGATTGAAATTATGACATTAGAAGTGGTGGAAAACTAGAGAAATGCGATTCAAATGGAGTTACTTACTTAGAAATCCTTTGACAGAATTTTTCCGTTCAAATGTTTCGAAACACAGACCCAAAAAAGAGCTATTGCCAAAAAGTGAATATTACTATTCCAAACTTGACTGAAAAACGCTTCATAAGGTGTTTTAAGTGTTTTGGATATCTCTATTGATGTGAAATTTTTTATTAAACTGTAAAGAGATAGCTGTTTCTAATGTCTTATGATCTATTTTTATGATACTGTTGCGGGATTCTAGGTCTAAAACTCTACTTTCTTCTCTGAAAAAAGTTTATATTGAGCAAATTAATCGTTTACTGAGAAAGATTCTGGAATTTTATCTAGAATACATGAAATATTTTTATACTCACTTTAATTGACTTACACTCTCGCTTAATTTCATAAATCAGAACTGTTTGTAGGTTGACTGGAGAAAATAGCATAAGTATAGTTTAATTCATGGTTGGTGATGATAATAGTAAAGGATTGTATTGACTTTGGAATAATTTTATTCCAGCCATGTGTGTGTACTCCTAGTAAAAAGCTAAAAGCAGATATTTTATTGTGGTTTAACTGTAATTATTTTAGTCTATATTTTGATTGATACGAAACTATATAGAGTTTTAATAATGCTGGAATAAGATTGATGAGGTATGTCTTTCGGAGAAAGTCAAGTCAGGAGTGAACTAGTTATTTTGTTAATTACACTCATCGATACAACCTCTAAGCTCATAAAATCCCATCAAAATTTCGATACATAAGTGTGGACATGGGATATGTGTTTTATTTTTTTTCTGTAATATTTACTTTTCTAATTAAAAACATTAAGATATACTTAGAAACTGATAATACTTAGCAAGGATAGAATTCTTATGTGATTGTTGGAATGGCTCGCAGTAGCCTCCAAAGGCTCGCAAGAAGCCGAAGAGTTTCGATCAAATCATGGCTTTATAGAACTGCTAGAATGTAAGTGAGGCATAAGGTAATTGGATGATGTAACAGCGCTAATTGTGTATTAGATTATTTTAATGATGTTTTCACCCTGTACGAAGAACTACAATTACGTTTGTTTTCTCTGTATATTTTGACACCTACTGGAGTAAAGATTTCTTCTGTTTTTCTTCCAGCTTTTGATTTGCAACCTGGGAAAAGGTTCTAATGGTCCTAGTGCCAAAGATTGTATTGTGTATTAATTATTCTAATAGCTGACTTAAAAGTGATCACTGCTTCATCTTCGTTTGATAAATACTTGTTTATTATTTTTTTGTCACATTATTTCGAAATGTTTTTAAGCAATAAAAATGTGGCAAATCGTTATATAACTTCATTTTAGTTCCGAAAACATTTAAATTTTACATCAAACAAGTACATGAACTAATGTAAATAGTTGTATAGCCTAAAGTTTATTGGACTCTAATCTAAACAGGAGAATGATGTAGAATTCTAATTCAGATGTTAATGTCGTTTTTGTCTACCTTATGTTAGTTTTGATCAACTTGTTGATAACTGCCTGAACATTAGTTGATGTAAATTATATTTATCAGTAATTCAGTTCATTCTGTATCTTCGTAATAATTCTGAATTTAATTATAGACTTGTGAAGATTGTTAAACTTCATTGAAATCATGGATCGATCAGTGTTAGACCATCATTAGACGGCCATCTGAACCTAGTGTGGAACTCATCGACAGTGAGCATCCACGACATCCGCAATAGGGAATCGAACCCAAGACCTTCGGTCTCGTGCGCGAACGCCTAACCTCTACACCACCGAGCCAGCATCCAACAGTGTTAATGTTTAATCAATTCACGATATTGCGCAATCTCATCCAATTTTGTTCGGTGGTTAACTGCTTCAGACTCTATAGGTTGAACTCCACTGGTCACGGCTTCTCACTAGAACTTCGAGAATCTCCTCACAAAGCTAGTCTCTTAACAATTTCCACAACTTTATAATGACAATTATTCCGTGCTCTCAAATCGTAATCTTCTGAGTTCCTCGTGACCGTTTTTTTCTAGTATTTTTTTCATTGATTCCTCTGGGATATACTTCTTGAATGATATCTTTGATCACTTATTTTTTAATTACCACAAATACTTCTACCTCTACTACTATGAGATGTGGATTGACAATTTGATCTCTGCGTGCTAATGTGGTATGACAACCTGAACTTATGTACTTACGTACGAAGTTCTACGTTGTAACTGACTGACTGACCCGCGTACAAAGTTCTACGTTGTAGTTGACTGACTGACATGTCATTTACCGAATGAGTGTCCATATTAAGTATGGAATAACAGATGTAGATATTAGATCGATTGGTAAATTTGGAAGCCTACATTTCGTGTATTAATCCACTTGACTACATTCATTTTGTTTTTACCATATTGTTGATATAAATTACATCCGACTATGTAGTAATTGAAACAGTTTTATTTCACAGGTCTTTCTTTTATGAATGTGAATTATGTTTAATCGTACTTGGATAGTTGAATCAAGTGTTTTTGTTGTGTAGATATATATCCTCTAAATTTCGAAATAATCAGGAAACCATGTTTGCTTGATGGTAAATGAATCACTTCCCAAATATTCCACCACGTTCTGTCATCAAAAAACATTTTCAAATCACCAATTATGAATATTTAAAACGTGCTTGTTTGGTTGTATATAGTTCTCTGGAATTCGCGTTCTCATTGATTTCAAAAGACATCCCTAAATTTTTTGTGAATGCTAGTGTGTTTTTCATCACCAGTTGAAATTACAATAAAACTCCTGATATCGTCTGGCTTATCGATTTTTTGGGTACTGGATTAATAGGCGAGTATAGTGGAATTTTAGTTGGGATCTGTTTTGCGTTGTTACATCTGTTATTGTAAACTAAATAATTTAACTAATACTTTAGCATTACTGTGTTTATGATTTTGCTTATTCGACGGTAAAGACCATTTTATTTCTTTTCAAGTCCTTAAATATTAATATCGAGTAATTATAGTGGAATTATTCATTGTTTTATACATAAAAAGACACCCTAATGCATCTGTTTGTCTTTTTATGTAGTCATGGAAAAAATTTTTTCACAGAAATCAGAATAGTAGTTAACAAAAGTGTCACTTTGAAGAAATTTTCATAAAATTTTCCCAATTGATATTGATAAATGTGACCAAGTCAAAAACTGAATAACGTGAATTCATTTTATTTCGCAGTTTCTCATCATCTGCTTACAAATTAAACACAATAGTATGAATCATTCAAGTTCAACTTACAATATATATATATATATATATATATATATATATATATATATATATATATCATAATGTTGGATAAGTTTTCTTCATTGAAGATTAATCATAACAGCAATTAATACGGAAGAGACACTCATATGTTGAGTTATGTGAATATATATGAGCATTCTAAGATTAAAAACTAAGAGCATGGGAACAGAGTTATTCAATAAGGCAATAATAATTTTATAGTCATGTGATCCTTAAAACAAAATAAATTGACTAACGGAATGCAATAATGTTGTTATTGGGACTTGTCTTTAATGCAACATAAATCTAAGCCTTTTATCAGATATTAGAAAGTATATTTTAATTGTGAATTTTCCTTAAGAGTAATGTATCCTGATATCTTAGTTTCTAACCTACATTTGTTTTAAATTGATTTTTAAGATTCAGAAAGCTTTGCAATGAAACCTGAATCCAAATTATACACGACTAAAAAGTAGTTGATAAGCTTACGTAGTTTATTTTGAAAATCTTTTAGAAGAAAATCTTACCTAGGTTAATTTCATCATTCATTCAGTAGTATAGGATTTAAGAGTTTGTCGCTGATGGAATTTGAGTCAACCCTAGTGTCCCTTTCGATAGACGTTATAGTGCTTAAGCAGAATGTTTATTCACTCTCCTTTAGTAACTAAGTTGTTAATGCGATTGGATTCCAACCAATTATACCACAGGTTCGAACATTGACACACTTATTTCATTTTGGGTAGCTGTGTAGTATCATCGACCCTCATAGCGTATGGTTTAAAACTGAGTATGTATTCTTCTGTACTTGGTAAGCGAACTTGACTACTGCAGTGGCCCCTATTCTGTAGATATTTGTAAGGAATTTTCATAGGATGTTAGATTTTGGTCAATGATTATGTTACGATAAGGAAAAGTGTGTGACTGAAATTTTTTTATTGTCTTCTGTATACTACTCAACTTATTTATTGTATATGAACCTGGAAAAATCAAAACGCGACTATTTCCATTTTCAACTTACACAATAAAGAGTTGTTTTGAGCTCGTCATTCCAGTCAACCGATAGAGTTTTATTTGCCCATTTAATTGCTCCACAAAAACAATTTTTCGCAGATATAAGCACTTAATATTTTGAGATATTCACAAAACAAAGGCTGCATAGATCACATTAATTTTATTCTTTCTGCAAAAGGTCCAGTAAGATATCATACTTATTTATGTTACAGTAGATGTACCGGTGCATATCTTTTCTCAATTCAAAAGCAGATGTCATGAGTATATTTATGTTGAGATTGTAGCTTGAGATTTACTTAAACATTACACCAAAATGCTGATGTAACATGATATCTGTCCGTGATTTGAACAACTGATTAGATAACCTACGTGCTTGATGAGTGTATGTAGTTCTGCACACCACCTAGAGGTTTGGTCAATAGCTAAAATAATCTATCTAAATCTAAAACGATGGAAAAAGGATTGACGATTTGTAATGGGGTTTCAAGAAATTTTCGATGCAATATGGATGATATACATCTGAGAATTGTCTTAATTAATTAATTAGGCTTTTGCTATAATCATCCTACAACAACTAGAATGGTAGAAATTTTCTACCTAACTCTTAACGCAAGAGATTGTCATGATTTCCAGCGCTACCTAAAATGAACAACTATATATGTCTTCCAACATCTTAACCTAGTCCACTAAAAAGTTGTGGTTTATTTTCTTCACATCTTTTTTGCATGATAAGATTTCTGTACTTATTGAGAAATAAGTTGAGATAAGGACAGTGAAGATTATTTTTTCACTTTATACGTTGCATCATCCCAACTAGTTCACATATTACGAAGAGTAGTATGGAATCAATAATCGCATAAACTCATAATACTATCTGTTTATATCTACTAGTATCACTCAGATAAATGACTAATTAAGCCCTCAAGGTATTCCCATTACGTTTACAAGTAAGTGTTAAGTAACATAATCCTAATGACTCATCAAGGAAGATATACCTAAAAAGTCTGAAAAATGTGACCAAGAAATATGCCCCACTATTGATCTCCAAAGTGAATACTGTTTAACATCATGGTATCAGTTTTGTCTGTTTAGTTCCTAAATACAGTGATAGTATGTATTCTGTTTTAACTGTTAACTTAATATAATGAGTGTTGCCTTTTTTGCGTTTTGTCTTCCGTAATAAGACAATGCATTTTTTTTACCCCACTATGAAAATCTGATCATTTGATTTCATCATTATTATCCCCCCTCTCAACTATCCTCTTTATCCTTTTTTCCAGATTATTACCAGTGGGTCTCACTCGTCTTGGCGTTACAAGCTATTCTATGTTATTTACCTCGCCTTATTTGGGAAGCAATTACTTTTAATCGTGTTGGAACAAATTTAGGATTCTTGCTTGAATCGGCCCGAGAGGCTTCAAAGGAAACTGGAAAGGAAAGATCAAATCGTGTTCAGTTTATAGCAAATGTTATGGATACATTGTTGTTTGCTCGTCGTGATCTGCACAAAGTAGACGATTTTAAAGATCAAAACTTTATGAAAACCGTTTTGCATACAATCCAAAATTTACTTCCTCGTAAAAGACTTGGTACTGCATTAGTCACATACTACATGATAATCAAGTTGTTTTATTTGCTAAATGCAGTTGGACAACTTTTACTGATGGAACGATTTTTGGGTATTCATGGAGAATATCGCCTATTTGGTTTATCAATTTTAAGTGATTTGATTATGGGTAGGCATTGGAATGAAACTAGTGTCTTCCCTCGAGTAGGTTTTTGTCGTGTACCAATCAAGTTGACAAGTACACCTATACCTATGGTCACCGTACAATGTACATTGCCAGTTAATATGTTGAACGAAAAGATCTACGTGTTTTTATGGTTTTGGTTTGTGTTTGTCGCTTCTCTGGAGGTTGCAAGTATTGGAGTTTGGATCTGTCGTTTGGCCGCGCGACAGTCAAGATTGCGACATTTGGTTCGATACTTAGAAATTGCAGACGTTTATGAAGAATCAATGGACCCATTGCTTGCTCGATTCGAGATGACATTCCTTCGACTCGATGGTAGTTTCCTCTTACAAATGATGCGTTTAAATGCTGGAAGTCTTATCACACAAGAAATCTTACAAGCAATGTTGAAGCGTTACACAGAACAAGAAAAGTATGCTCAGAAGAAACGCGTCGAACGGGAACTTTCTGGACCAAAGTCGGTAGAAATGGAGAAGACTAGTTTACTTCCTGATTCTCCCGATTGTACTGTAACAAAGCGTTTAGATGTTGTTTAATTGAAAAAACAAATCCCCACTATAACGACTGAACACATCGCACAAATTCATCTCTGCCTTTTGCATTATTTTATTTTCTTTCCAGCTGTTAAATACAATCTCACCCATCAATCTAATTGATATAATAGTTTTTTCTGGTAATTTACATTCATTTTAATTTGCAAAACTCAGGGTCACCTTTAACTTTTCCCATCCCCTTGTTTTTTTTCATAATAAAAGTGTCAAGCTCATAATTTATTTTGACTTCTTGTTCCTTATGTATTATTGAGCTTTAACGTACGTGTATACGATACAATCAAGTATTTTTTTTAGGTTTATATCGGTTATATATTTAAGAAATATTTGATTTTTCATCACATAACTTTTAACGAAGGTAAGAAAAAATATCCGAGAAAGAGAACGCCGGTTCATTTTATTTCATCAGTTTCTCACTAGCTGCTTACAATTTAAAATATTTAGCAGTTAAAATTATGCAGTGAATTGAGAATGCTGACATAAATGAATTTGATTATAAAATATTGTGATTAAACATCAACATGGTATGGTAAAGATGTAAATAAATTTAAAAGGTCAAATAAAAACATAATAAATATATGTCATTTATCGAGAAACATTTTATAACACTGATAGTAACAAAAGATTAAACTTCTAGAAATAAGCAGTTACATAATAAACACATGCCAGTTATCAGCATAAAAAAAGTCAGGCTCGGTTAATTAAACTAGAAGAGAGTGTAAAAACTGACGTAACTATGTAGTCAGTTGAGAGTTGAGAAGAAATTAATGGTGTAAAGAGGTAGAGTTTATGCTTCTTAGGGAGAGGAAGACTAACAACTATTCTCAAACATCAAGTTTTTGACTCCTGATAACACTAACTTCAGAAGACTAGGAATTAACTGTTAACTAGATTTAAAGGTAGCCATCTAACATTCTGTGTCCTAGAGATGTTTGAACACTACATTGTTCAAAGTACTCGGAGATTTTCATGAACGTCTTCAAAAAATTTAGGATAGGTCCACCTTTTTGTTCAAACAATGTAGCTTCATTGACAAATGTGGATATATTTATAGACGCTTGTCTTTAAAATGAAGAGGGTAGTTTTTCATGTTTGGTAGAGTCATTGGAAATGTCTAATGAGATCTCAAGCTTCCTATTAATTGTTCCTTATGTTCAATTCTTTTTAACGAGTTTGATAATGCAGTTTTATTTTTTGAGAATCCGATAGAATAACTCTAAAATCAACATCAAAAGTGTAGACTAATCTCAATCGTCTACTAACGCAACTATCGAAAATTGAAACAATAAAAACAGGAAGTTTATGACTACTCCGAATGATGAAGATACAATGTAAGATGGGTGAATATATATATATATATGCTCTACTGGATAAATATGTTAATACCTAAAATGGATATTTTTCCAGTACACTGACCTAGTGTGATTATATGACTAATTTTAGCTTGCGATATAAAAGAGAGTTACTTTTACATTGACAAAAGATATAGTGATGTTTTAATGTAATGATTCCTCTGTACATTGTTATTTTATGCGTATTACAAATTGTGAATACAATACATTCAGTTGTGCTCACTAAATTTTCTCTGACTTAAAAACTAGACACTTCTAGGAGTTCCTAGTTAACAATACTAATTTGAATATTTACGCATATCATGGAATATCTAATTCGGCAATTTCAATTTATTAATTTAAACAAAATGTTATAGTAAAGTAATTCATTGAACCAACTATATCTCTGTCTTTTATCAAATAGATTATATTGTCCAGAATTTAACATTTAAAATCTATTCAAGTTGATCAATAAAGTATATGAAACAATTTAAGTTATTATTATACTTGCAATGTCACTGTAATGTAGAGAGATTTATTTTCATGACCCAGACATTTCAATTTATAGTGTGTAGTAGTAAATTCGTATTATTATAAAATAGAGTGACGTATTTACAAAAAAAGAACTACCACATTATTGTTGTTTTTTTTTGTTTTTTTTGCTAACACACTCGAATATGTTTTAATTTTATCATGTAGATATTTAAAAGTTTAAGCATGTACTGTCTTCATTTAATTCATTCATAATATATATATATAGTATTTTAACACGTTTTTTAAACTTTTAACAGGGTTTTTTAAAATCACCAAAAATTTTTTTTAAATTTTCACAGCGTTTTTTAAAATTTTTTTGAAAAAATAAAATAAGAACTACTTTTAATTAAAATCTTCTTTAGCAGTCGCTTTTAAACAATTGTGACGTACGTGTCTTGAATAACTTTGTAAATCATCCCTGGTTTAATTGATTAACAGAATTTAGTATTAGATTTATAAAAGTTTCGTTGGATCCGCTCGCCAGAGATCTTCTTACAATGGATTTAATTTTCGAAAACGCGAATTCGATTGGGTTAAGCATGTATATAACTATAGGGAGACAAAAACATAACGTTTACTCCCTTTTCATCAAAAAAGTTTTTTGTGATAATTGAGTGATGAATCCTCGCATTATCAAGTATAAAAATACAATTCTTAAAAATTGATTTTTGATTGCATTTTTCAATTAGTTGATCAAAAAACTGAATGAACTTATCTGAATTCACCGAATCAACAAATGTTTTAGCAAAGAGAACTTCATTTTCTGTTATAGCCGATATTAAACTTATATTGGTTCCACGCGTTGATGGAACTAGGGCACTTGCCGGTTTTCCTCTTATAGATCTTCCCAAGGTTCTTCTTAAGTACAAATTAAAAGAAGATTCATCTATAAAAACTTTTATATATAAATGTATCTTCAATGTTCATAAAATCTTGAGCGTAAATTTGGCGTTTGTTTTTACTGGATTCCGAATTTATATTGACCGATGTGTAAGAAATCTTTTTCAAAGTAATCTGAAGTCTATAAATTATCCTTCTTATAGATTCAAGAGAAAGGCCTATAGAAAATTTGTTTTCTATTTTTTCTCGAATTTCTACCATCGTTATTAACGGGTTTAATTCTATCAATTCTTCAACAAAATTGATAATATCACCGCATATCTTCTTATTTGATGGTTTTCCTGTTTTTTTTTCTTCTCAACTCGCGATTCCTTTTTATATATACAACCTTATAATATTTGTAGCGGCCTGATAGTTTACATCTGTAAGAAATGCTGCATCCTTGACGCTGTATCCATCTTCAATAACTTTTTTTATAAGGCTTTTTCTTTTTTCATTCGAAATCAAGTTGTTTTTTCTATTTATTTCTGACATTCTAAGGATTACAAAAAAATTTTAAAAAACGCTGTGAAAATTTTAAAAAACGAGTTGAAATACTATATATATATATATATATATATATATATATATATATGAGTAGAATGTATGTAGAATCTTATCAACAACGTTTTCATCTGATTATATTTCGAAGATCATTTACATTTTTATTCTGATTTCAAAAATTAATTCCTTATGATTTTATACTTATTTATTGTATTAGTATTATCATCTTATGTACATGTTATTCTGTTAGTGTTTATTATTAAGTTGAATTATTAATCTTCAATAATTAATTCTAATTAAGGATTTTTCACATATCTGAATGAGTCGATTGTGTAGTAGTAGTAGTAGTAGTAGTTATATTAATTTTTCAAATATTAATTATTTTCAACACTAAATGAATAGATTTGATTTCATTTTATAAACGTATGTATTCGATTAATAATCTGATTAATGTTGTAACAGTTTTTATTGATCTTTTCATAAAAATTGATTTGTCATTAGTTCAACTCATTCTTTATTTATTCACATACATATTCCATAAGCATACGGTTTTTAGTTAAATCTGTAAATCAGTCATTTATTATGTGGGTTTTTATTATTCGTTTTTCATTTTAAGATGAGCTTATTAAAAATCGTTGTTTTAAGTTAATTTTCATCACCGAGACTGATTCCGGTTAGATGATAACCACTGAAAATCAAACAAATTACTGTAAATCTATTTTATTCTACTTTTCGCATGAGATTTAAATCAGTGTAACCGTACAAAGAAGTCAGATGAAATATGTACACGGTTTATATTTACACATAATCTTCAAGCATCCATTTGTAATACAAGCACATACCTATTACATCTCTTCTGGTCATCAATACACTCTGATCACAACGGGCATTTTGGTCTTCAGTCATTGTTCAGGGTAGCGACTTCTAGGAGACGCTACTGCACATACTACTTATGAACCGATTCGTGAGTAGCATCTTCCGCTCCAGGGCCTGTGCATCCCGTGGCAAGCAAGCTACATTCACATTAAATTATTCACAATCTGATTGGCAATATTGCTCGACTATTATTATGGTTATGATTGTAAAGTGGATTTTAATGATGCCGTTTTTCAAGTTAGATTTATAAAGAGGATATCACTCAAAAAGTTATGAATCAAATTCTTACATTGGTAATTTAATTGATTGCATGACCTATAAGTAACAAGGTCATAAGGTTAATTACAGCAGTCATGTCATTTAGACATTCAGTCCGTTATAACATAGAACTTCGTATGTACGTACATCAGTTCAGGTTGCCATACCTCATTAGCACGGACATGTAACTGTCACTTCATAGCCAATAGTGGTAGCGATAGTAGAAGTATTAGCTTTACTTTGAGAGATTAGGGTTCAAAGATATTAATCAAGAAGTATTATCAGTGAGGTAAGTTTACGAGGAAGATAGAGGTGATGACAAATTCAGAAGATTAGAACTTCAAAGAACACGAGTGGATGCAACCGCGCCATTGCAACCGATTTTGAGACATGTCATTCAAGGTCTCTAACCATCGGTGAATTTAGTCTCGCGGACCCCGACCGGGTAGCCTACATCTATCGATATGACTCAATCCACTTTTCAGTGACTTCAGGGATTTCTACTATGTTTTGGTTTGGTAGTCCCTAGCTTCCTTCTAACCTACTCCTACATCACAAAACAGCTCGTCGAGGCAGTCGGTGGTTGGTCATTCGTGACACATG